ACCAATGATGTTTAACCTCTGAAAGCATATTTGATCGTTTACATATAATAACTGTAATTGATTTGTAATTCACTGTGGTTATAATGCAACTTAAATTCCAAGCTTATTGACTTTGTAATTTATAGTTTTTATATGGCTCGTTCATTATTTCTTATAGACGAGTTTCAACAACTATCTAACTCCAAAAATATTCAAGCCATATTGAAAAATCCCTGCAAAATAAATAAATTTTAAACTATCGCCTGTCTAAGTAAGGTGGATAGATTATTTAAGTATGGCAAATGAATTTTGTGCATACAGTGAAATATCATTCCAGATTATGTTGCCTTTTGGACATTGCATATCGTTATTATACTGCTTATTTGTCGTAATCTTATCCAAAAACTTGTGGGGATCATGTCATTGAGATTACGAGAAACTTATCGTACTCCTTTATTATTTTATGTTTAAAAATAAACTATAGAATTGGATGGTTTACATTAGTTATCGGGTGACAACCTGAATTGATTTATGCATTCCACGTAATTATCAGAGTTCGTTAGGTGAAAATCATCATATTTACGATTAGATATTTAGATATATAAATCAGACATTTCGTTTATTTAAAAAGCATTCCCAAACATTCTAAATGAATTTCAGTTCAAATATCAAACTATCATATTCAAAGTCACACATCCATACAGTAATTAGAACAGGCTTGAATCACTAATATAATGTGATCCTTATCAAAGTCAAAAACTTATTATCAAGAAATAAATCATATTTATGATTCATTCCAAAATAAATTAAAACACCAAAGTTAAATAAGATTTAATTATCAAAAAAATTTTTTAACCATAAATACATATTTATTCCCTATAACAAATTGAATTTATTGCTCTCGTGTAACATAATTATTACGTCATGTTCTGGAATGATATTTTATGCATTAGTCAACAATTATTTACGTAATTCAAAATGCAGGTTGGAACTTTTGTTATGAAAAAGTAAACATAGTGAAATTTCTAAAATCTCCACAAAACCCCTTTCTAATAATAATCATCTGCTCACTAGTGACTGACCTCAAGAGACATATCTTGAAGTTCTAGTGAGAAGCCGTAACCAATGGAGTTCAACCTGGTCTGTTGTGAGATATCAGCTCACTGAAGACAATGGTGTACGGTGGCGCAAATTCGTGGATTGGTTGAAGTTAGAGATTAAGTCTGTTGGAGACCGGCTCAGTGGTCTAATAGTTAAGCGCTCGCGCTCGAGGCTGGCAGGTCCTGGGTCCGGATCTCGCGGGGGCGGGATCGTGGATGTGCATTGCTGAGGAGTCCTGTACTAGGACGGAACGGTCGTCCAGTGCTTCCAGGTTTTCTATGGTGGTCTAGCTTCAATTGATTCATGATTTCAACTAAAAAAATCTTAAAGACAATTAAAGAAGAAATCTATTTACTCATGAGGGTATTATTTTTGTTCGATTTGATTCACGAAAATGAAACTTGAATTATCCAGCAAGTGTATAACAATAGCTTCTCAGGATCGATATAGTATATTAGGCGTTCATAAACATATATGGTACGTATTTATACACTTCTTTTTTTCTTTTGCTACTATTAAACTGTATAATTAGATACGGTTTTCATAATTTACGTGAATGGAAACTATGTTTAACTATTCTTGTTGAATACAGCTTGCTAACTAACCTGAGATTGTCTAATGAATTACCTTTATTGATATTAATAAGTGATATATCTTAAAAGCTTGTTTCCTTATATAGGTTTGTTTACTTTTTAACACGATTTAATTATTTTACAGTTGATATCATAGTAGATAAATAATAAGTAACTATTTCATACTTTCGTTCAACGGATTATTCAGGTAATTAGGGTTCTAAATTTGATAATATTTGATGTGAGCAAAAGTACATCACGATTATCAAAGCGGTAACAAACCTTGATCCGATATTATCTTTTTTTCCGAATGAAGTAAGTTCTCTATGTCCGGTTATCACAAGTGTTATTGTTCCGTCTTATAAGCTGGTGTTATCAGAGATCATAACAAATTTAATGGAAATCTGTTCAAATTTCAAACTGTGCTTAATGTCTTTGCCATGACTAGGCCTTCATCCCATCATGATTGCTACATTACCTTATTTGAATTGGACACTTCGTCTTTTTAAAATTACTAGACAGTAGTAATGTTACTGTCTTACTTACATCTGTTACCTATTGTGGAGCATAAGGTATCGACAAGAACCATCCAACTAACTCTATCCTCGGCTCTCCTTTCCAGTTATTTCCGATTGCTGTTTATTGTTTTGATGTCTGACTTCAATACCCTGCACAGCATCTTCTTTGGTCTTTCTCTTTTCATTTTCCCTTCAGAATTCTGTGTTGGGGCCCAGCCTCGTGATGTAGTTTGATGACTTCCTCAATGTTTATCTTATCCACCTCCAATGCCTCTATGTAATTTCTTCTTCAACTGGGAGCTAGTTTGTTCTCTTCTCCATTAGGCTGTTGTTGATGGTATCCGGCGAACAAACATTGTGTATCTTGCATAGATAATTGCTAATGAATACCTGTACGCTTTTGATGATGGTTGTAGTAGTTCTCCCATTCACAGCTCTTTACATTAGAACTATATTGACGTTGGTATTGAAGATTCTGACTTTGATGTTGTCTGACAGCTGTTTTGAGTTCCATATGTTCTTCAATTGTAGGAATGCCATTCTTTACCGATCCTCACTCTCACATCACTGCGTCAGATCCTCCTTATTTGTCGGTGATGCTACCATGGTACGAAAATCTTCACACCTATTCCAAAGCTTCACCAAATGTGATTTGGTTGGTGTTCTTCGTGTTGTTTTCGAAGATCTTGATTTTTTCTGTGTATTTTGAGGTCTACTGCTGCAGAGGCTGCTGCTACACTGCCTGTCCTCACTTGCATTTGTTAGTGTGTACGGAATAGAAGATCTAGGTAACCTGCGACGTTCAAATCGTTCAGTTGCATCCAACCTGTCCATTGTATTCCGTGTTTCTCAGATGTCGAGATCTTCATAATCCAGTCAACCACCGGAAGAAAGAAATGGAGAGTGTAAGCAACATTGTCTGACTTCGGTTCTCACTTGGAATGCGTCTGTCAGCTTTCCTCCATACAGGACTTTGAAGTGTAGTCCGTCATATGAATTCCGTGTAATGTTGACGATTTTCTCAGGTACACCATAGTGTCAAAGAAGGTTCCACAAAGTTTTGTTGTCCACTCTGTTGAATGCTTTCTCATAATCAAGGAAGTTGATGTTAAGCTCTGTCAAGTTGCATCTCCTCATTTCGGCAGCTTTTTTACTGGTTCCTCCGGTCTCTCACATTGTCCGAACATTCTATGTATCTATATTGACTGTTGCTCTGGCTGTTAGATGAGGCGGCGGCCTCATGACTTCCGAAGAAATTTTGGCTTTCACTATGGGGCGTCATAGCTATCCTAAATGAAGATCCTTCAACTCGGAGGGCAGAGTTTAAATGGCTTAAATTGTTTATTCCGGTTCTCGTTTTTAGCAAGGTTGTTTTCTACGGGAGGGGGTTGCTAATCTTATGCCCAACCACCTTCCTTTATTCACTGTTCGAACGTGCACTCAGTCAGTCAGCTGCAACGTAGGACCAGGCACATATATGCATCGGTCCAAGTTGCCATACCGCATTAGCACAACAAGATGAACACCGGATTAATAGAAGTAGTTAATTCAGTGGTTGTTATATATAGAAGAAAGATTGTGTATAAGGAGATAGTACAGGACGAAAGAATTAGTTCGTAGAAAGAACGATTTGAAGTGATTTTAATCTCTTAGTTTAAAGGAAGACGGAGAGTGTATACACCGACGCCATTGTGATAGATTCTGAGCCGTAAGATCCAGAGTCTCCAACTATTGGTTACGATAGTCACATGGACCCCAACTGAGTAGTCTGCACCTACCAACATGGCTCAGACTAGAAGTTAATGACTTCAAGGACTGATGCTGCGCCTTGGTTTGGCCGCCCCTAACTTTCTTCCAATTATCCCTAACACCAGTGAGCATTGCGCGTCGTGGTAATCGGTGTTCAGGCATACATAGCACGTGGCCCAACCATTTCAGTCGATAAAGATTCATAACCTCATCAACTGACTTACCATCATTCCCTAATACCCTGTGTCTAACCTCACTATTACTTACCCGGTGATCCCAGCAGATGTGAGCAATATTTCTAAGGCACCTGTGGTCAACTACTAGTAACTTACGAGTATCTTCTACTCTTAAAGGCCATGTTTCACAGCCGTATATTAGAACGGAACGAACTACCGCACAGTATACTCGTCCCTTAATTGAAAGATGGATATCTCGCCTTCGCCATAGATGACGTAAGTTGGCAAAAGCCAAACGAGCTTTTCGAATCCGTGCTGAGATTTCGTCAGACACCAACCCGTTAGGGCTGATCAGACTTCTAAGATAAGCGAAGTTGTCTACGCGTTCGACTACTTCACTCCCTATCCTTAGTTCAGGTGTTGACGCAGACCAATCCTGAAGCAACAACTTGCATTTAGAGGGAGAGAAGCGCGTCCCAAACATTCTTGCATTGTTGCTCAGTGCACTAACCCTAGAAGGGCTACTTGCGGAGTTAGAAAGTAGTAATGTGGAGTATTGAATGTAAATAAAAATCCAAAATTGCAAGATTATTGTCTGTCATATTATTTTGTCGATGTAAACAATATTAATTTTTTCTGAATACCAACCTCTTACTTATTCTAAGTCAATCAGGAAATTTTTGTACTTGCCGATGAATGCTATTTGTAGTTCAAAATATGACTGCTGTAGTTACGTTTTTAATAATTTCTGCTGTTTTTTGTTTTTAGCACAGGTTCAGCCTCAGATAAGTTGGTGCCAAATTGATTATGAAGTCATTTGGAGGTCAGGAAGTGGATGTCCAATCACAAAATTGTCCACTGTTATTGAAAGCCAAAAATTATCATCAGACAATACTTTAGATTTAATGAAAGTTCCACCAGCACCACCGCTGTGCTTAGCCGCTATAAATATCAAGTCAGTTACACAAAAACATTCAATTCATTCTGAGGTATGTGTTATTATTAGATCTAGGATACAATTCGTTTTTGAACATGTTATTGGTATTGAATTTCGTGGTTAAGTAGTTTTACTTTCATAGTACTGCTTTAAGTGGTATAATTTAATAATATCGTAATAATAATCAATCAAAATTGTAATATCCACTATCCTACTTGCATATACTTGGAAACGGGAACCACTGTGGTTACCACTACACAAAGTAAGAACACAAAGACTTACAAATAATGGTTTATTAACTCCACAAAACACAAAATAATTTGTCCAAAATCCCGTAATTGATAAACCAAACACGTTCATCTACATACTGGTTTAGATAAGATAGTCATTGGAGGTAGTCAACAGGAAACCCTGAACCTACTGGTTTTTACAAATCATCTACACACGGTTGCTGTAAACATACAAATTACACGCAGAATAGTGCAAGGGATATAATTGTCATACTGAAAGAAAGTTCACGCCTGTCATATGGAAAATAAACTAATGTTATACTGAATAAAATGCTATATTGAGAATAATGACAATGTCACACACTGATGCCACGTTTTGGTTTGGCCGCCCCTAACTTTCTTCCAATTATCCCTAACACCAGTGAGCATTGCGCGTCGTGGTAATCGGTGTTCAGGCATACATAGCACGTGGCCCAACCATTTCAGTCGATAAAGATTCATAACCTCATCAACTGACTTACCATCATTCCCTAATACCCTGTGTCTAACCTCACTATTACTTACCCGGTGATCCCAGCAGATGTGAGCAATATTTCTAAGGCACCTGTGGTCAACTACTAGTAACTTACGAGTATCTTCTACTCTTAAAGGCCATGTTTCACAGCCGTATATTAGAACGGAACGAACTACCGCACAGTATACTCGTCCCTTAATTGAAAGATGGATATCTCGCCTTCGCCATAGATGACGTAAGTTGGCAAAAGCCAAACGAGCTTTTCGAATCCGTGCTGAGATTTCGTCAGACACCAACCCGTTAGGGCTGATCAGACTTCTAAGATAAGCGAAGTTGTCTACGCGTTCGACTACTTCACTCCCTATCCTTAGTTCAGGTGTTGACGCAGACCAATCCTGAAGCAACAACTTGCATTTAGAGGGAGAGAAGCGCGTCCCAAACATTCTTGCATTGTTGCTCAGTGCACTAACCCTAGAAGGGCTACTTGCGGAGTTAGAAAGTAGTAATGTGGAGTATTGAATGTAAATAAAAATCCAAAATTGCAAGATTATTGTCTGTCATATTATTTTGTCGATGTAAACAATATTAATTTTTTCTGAATACCAACCTCTTACTTATTCTAAGTCAATCAGGAAATTTTTGTACTTGCCGATGAATGCTATTTGTAGTTCAAAATATGACTGCTGTAGTTACGTTTTTAATAATTTCTGCTGTTTTTTGTTTTTAGCACAGGTTCAGCCTCAGATAAGTTGGTGCCAAATTGATTATGAAGTCATTTGGAGGTCAGGAAGTGGATGTCCAATCACAAAATTGTCCACTGTTATTGAAAGCCAAAAATTATCATCAGACAATACTTTAGATTTAATGAAAGTTCCACCAGCACCACCGCTGTGCTTAGCCGCTATAAATATCAAGTCAGTTACACAAAAACATTCAATTCATTCTGAGGTATGTGTTATTATTAGATCTAGGATACAATTCGTTTTTGAACATGTTATTGGTATTGAATTTCGTGGTTAAGTAGTTTTACTTTCATAGTACTGCTTTAAGTGGTATAATTTAATAATATCGTAATAATAATCAATCAAAATTGTAATATCCACTATCCTACTTGCATATACTTGGAAACGGGAACCACTGTGGTTACCACTACACAAAGTAAGAACACAAAGACTTACAAATAATGGTTTATTAACTCCACAAAACACAAAATAATTTGTCCAAAATCCCGTAATTGATAAACCAAACACGTTCATCTACATACTGGTTTAGATAAGATAGTCATTGGAGGTAGTCAACAGGAAACCCTGAACCTACTGGTTTTTACAAATCATCTACACACGGTTGCTGTAAACATACAAATTACACGCAGAATAGTGCAAGGGATATAATTGTCATACTGAAAGAAAGTTCACGCCTGTCATATGGAAAATAAACTAATGTTATACTGAATAAAATGCTATATTGAGAATAATGACAATGTCACACACTGATGCCACGTTTTGGTTTGGCCGCCCCTAACTTTCTTCCAATTATCCCTAACACCAGTGAGCATTGCGCGTCGTGGTAATCGGTGTTCAGGCATACATAGCACGTGGCCCAACCATTTCAGTCGATAAAGATTCATAACCTCATCAACTGACTTACCATCATTCCCTAATACCCTGTGTCTAACCTCACTATTACTTACCCGGTGATCCCAGCAGATGTGAGCAATATTTCTAAGGCACCTGTGGTCAACTACTAGTAACTTACGAGTATCTTCTACTCTTAAAGGCCATGTTTCACAGCCGTATATTAGAACGGAACGAACTACCGCACAGTATACTCGTCCCTTAATTGAAAGATGGATATCTCGCCTTCGCCATAGATGACGTAAGTTGGCAAAAGCCAAACGAGCTTTTCGAATCCGTGCTGAGATTTCGTCAGACACCAACCCGTTAGGGCTGATCAGACTTCTAAGATAAGCGAAGTTGTCTACGCGTTCGACTACTTCACTCCCTATCCTTAGTTCAGGTGTTGACGCAGACCAATCCTGAAGCAACAACTTGCATTTAGAGGGAGAGAAGCGCGTCCCAAACATTCTTGCATTGTTGCTCAGTGCACTAACCCTAGAAGGGCTACTTGCGGAGTTAGAAAGTAGTAATGTGGAGTATTGAATGTAAATAAAAATCCAAAATTGCAAGATTATTGTCTGTCATATTATTTTGTCGATGTAAACAATATTAATTTTTTCTGAATACCAACCTCTTACTTATTCTAAGTCAATCAGGAAATTTTTGTACTTGCCGATGAATGCTATTTGTAGTTCAAAATATGACTGCTGTAGTTACGTTTTTAATAATTTCTGCTGTTTTTTGTTTTTAGCACAGGTTCAGCCTCAGATAAGTTGGTGCCAAATTGATTATGAAGTCATTTGGAGGTCAGGAAGTGGATGTCCAATCACAAAATTGTCCACTGTTATTGAAAGCCAAAAATTATCATCAGACAATACTTTAGATTTAATGAAAGTTCCACCAGCACCACCGCTGTGCTTAGCCGCTATAAATATCAAGTCAGTTACACAAAAACATTCAATTCATTCTGAGGTATGTGTTATTATTAGATCTAGGATACAATTCGTTTTTGAACATGTTATTGGTATTGAATTTCGTGGTTAAGTAGTTTTACTTTCATAGTACTGCTTTAAGTGGTATAATTTAATAATATCGTAATAATAATCAATCAAAATTGTAATATCCACTATCCTACTTGCATATACTTGGAAACGGGAACCACTGTGGTTACCACTACACAAAGTAAGAACACAAAGACTTACAAATAATGGTTTATTAACTCCACAAAACACAAAATAATTTGTCCAAAATCCCGTAATTGATAAACCAAACACGTTCATCTACATACTGGTTTAGATAAGATAGTCATTGGAGGTAGTCAACAGGAAACCCTGAACCTACTGGTTTTTACAAATCATCTACACACGGTTGCTGTAAACATACAAATTACACGCAGAATAGTGCAAGGGATATAATTGTCATACTGAAAGAAAGTTCACGCCTGTCATATGGAAAATAAACTAATGTTATACTGAATAAAATGCTATATTGAGAATAATGACAATGTCACACACTGATGCCACGTTTTGGTTTGGCCGCCCCTAACTTTCTTCCAATTATCCCTAACACCAGTGAGCATTGCGCGTCGTGGTAATCGGTGTTCAGGCATACATAGCACGTGGCCCAACCATTTCAGTCGATAAAGATTCATAACCTCATCAACTGACTTACCATCATTCCCTAATACCCTGTGTCTAACCTCACTATTACTTACCCGGTGATCCCAGCAGATGTGAGCAATATTTCTAAGGCACCTGTGGTCAACTACTAGTAACTTACGAGTATCTTCTACTCTTAAAGGCCATGTTTCACAGCCGTATATTAGAACGGAACGAACTACCGCACAGTATACTCGTCCCTTAATTGAAAGATGGATATCTCGCCTTCGCCATAGATGACGTAAGTTGGCAAAAGCCAAACGAGCTTTTCGAATCCGTGCTGAGATTTCGTCAGACACCAACCCGTTAGGGCTGATCAGACTTCTAAGATAAGCGAAGTTGTCTACGCGTTCGACTACTTCACTCCCTATCCTTAGTTCAGGTGTTGACGCAGACCAATCCTGAAGCAACAACTTGCATTTAGAGGGAGAGAAGCGCGTCCCAAACATTCTTGCATTGTTGCTCAGTGCACTAACCCTAGAAGGGCTACTTGCGGAGTTAGAAAGTAGTAATGTGGAGTATTGAATGTAAATAAAAATCCAAAATTGCAAGATTATTGTCTGTCATATTATTTTGTCGATGTAAACAATATTAATTTTTTCTGAATACCAACCTCTTACTTATTCTAAGTCAATCAGGAAATTTTTGTACTTGCCGATGAATGCTATTTGTAGTTCAAAATATGACTGCTGTAGTTACGTTTTTAATAATTTCTGCTGTTTTTTGTTTTTAGCACAGGTTCAGCCTCAGATAAGTTGGTGCCAAATTGATTATGAAGTCATTTGGAGGTCAGGAAGTGGATGTCCAATCACAAAATTGTCCACTGTTATTGAAAGCCAAAAATTATCATCAGACAATACTTTAGATTTAATGAAAGTTCCACCAGCACCACCGCTGTGCTTAGCCGCTATAAATATCAAGTCAGTTACACAAAAACATTCAATTCATTCTGAGGTATGTGTTATTATTAGATCTAGGATACAATTCGTTTTTGAACATGTTATTGGTATTGAATTTCGTGGTTAAGTAGTTTTACTTTCATAGTACTGCTTTAAGTGGTATAATTTAATAATATCGTAATAATAATCAATCAAAATTGTAATATCCACTATCCTACTTGCATATACTTGGAAACGGGAACCACTGTGGTTACCACTACACAAAGTAAGAACACAAAGACTTACAAATAATGGTTTATTAACTCCACAAAACACAAAATAATTTGTCCAAAATCCCGTAATTGATAAACCAAACACGTTCATCTACATACTGGTTTAGATAAGATAGTCATTGGAGGTAGTCAACAGGAAACCCTGAACCTACTGGTTTTTACAAATCATCTACACACGGTTGCTGTAAACATACAAATTACACGCAGAATAGTGCAAGGGATATAATTGTCATACTGAAAGAAAGTTCACGCCTGTCATATGGAAAATAAACTAATGTTATACTGAATAAAATGCTATATTGAGAATAATGACAATGTCACACACTGATGCCACGTTTTGGTTTGGCCGCCCCTAACTTTCTTCCAATTATCCCTAACACCAGTGAGCATTGCGCGTCGTGGTAATCGGTGTTCAGGCATACATAGCACGTGGCCCAACCATTTCAGTCGATAAAGATTCATAACCTCATCAACTGACTTACCATCATTCCCTAATACCCTGTGTCTAACCTCACTATTACTTACCCGGTGATCCCAGCAGATGTGAGCAATATTTCTAAGGCACCTGTGGTCAACTACTAGTAACTTACGAGTATCTTCTACTCTTAAAGGCCATGTTTCACAGCCGTATATTAGAACGGAACGAACTACCGCACAGTATACTCGTCCCTTAATTGAAAGATGGATATCTCGCCTTCGCCATAGATGACGTAAGTTGGCAAAAGCCAAACGAGCTTTTCGAATCCGTGCTGAGATTTCGTCAGACACCAACCCGTTAGGGCTGATCAGACTTCCAAAATAAATAAAGTTGTTCAAAATATCAAGTTACCTGCAATCCCATCTTCTTTCTGTATTATCCGTCGAGGTTTGATGTATTGAGTATAATTAACTGTTGTCAGTTCCGAAGAGAATCTATCGTATTAGAGAGGCTCAATCGTTTTCATTCCTAAATCTTCAACATTGTAGGTTGTACTGAACACTAATAACAAGACACTGAACAAATGTTCTCGTTCCTTTTAACGGATGACATCTACTTAAATGTCCGTAGAAACTAAGACATTTCATTTTCTTTTTTTCGTTACAAATGCAACTTTTGAGGAACAAATATAAATTTATACAAATAGCTGACTATGAAAAGAGAAGAATGCGTGTTGATTTTCTATCGTGTGGAAATACATTGTTTTCTACAAGATAAACAATGTGCTTACATGACACGCTTTTATTATTTTCAGCCTTCTTTAAGTTGCCACTACAACGTTACCATCTTCAAAATTAAGGACAAACTGTTGAATAGACCAATATATAATATAATAAAATGACGAAAAATGAAAATCAGTTTATAAACAGTAAGGTCACTACAATATTAATGTAAATAAAGATATTTCATGATTTATTCTTTATTAGATATTCAATATTAGATAGTTTTTTCTATCTAGTTTTCTTTAGACACAAGATACATGTTCTAGTCACATTTTGAAACATGCACTACTAGTATTCTTAGCATTATTTGTCTATATCTCCACAGGTATTTAATACTTTTGGATTAACTCACTACTTAAATGTATAATGTATTGCTTCATGAGTTAACTTTGTTCAAATTTACGACAAACTGTATCATCTTCATTGTCACTGTGGGTGTGAGTCATAGAAACAATTTTCTAACATGTTATGGTTTATAGTCTAAAAATATGAAGCTAGTTTTTAAACATAGTCTGATGTTTATTTCATACCCCCATTTCCTTTTTGTATATTCTTAGTATGAAATGATACAGTAATAACGTATGAAATATTATGGCTATTCTTTTTTTTTCAATTAAATTTTAATTTTCTATCTACAGTTTAACAACCGTTAACTAACGTAAATATCGTTCGCACGGTTTCACTAAAAGAAAAGTGGTCACAAACTTAGATTGACGACATAATAGCCTTTTGTGTGATTTGTAATCTAATAGAGAATATAGGATGAACTACAATCGAGATGATAAATCGTTGTCTTATACACTGTGTCATGTTTTTTTATCAGTAACAGACACAATAATAAATGTTTGCAAAGCAGAAACATTAAGGACAGATAGACCAAAGTAAATTTATTTCGTTTGAAATTCTAAAAAAATCATAAACATCTAGAAAAATGTAGTTTAGCTATGAATTAGGTATTTAGCAGTCTCATATGAAATCATAAATGTACCCTGTTGATGAGCTTCATACTATGACACAACGCTTGGCCCCTACTGTTCAATGGTTGTTTAACTAAAGGATATCTTCCACAAAACCTTCATCTTGATAAAAAATCTAAACAATTATTAAGCAATACTGTTCATCTATTCAAAAAAGTATTATTTTACCTGCTAAATTCGAAGTTTCATATGAAATTTAAGTGTGTTAACCGATAGGGACTTATGTATACTAAATCTAGTAAGTTTTAAATATTTTCTTTATCGCATAGTTCGCTCAATTTGAAGTGCTGACTTTATGAGGATGTTCACATTGAGCTTTTGGCGAAATCAAATAAACGACTCAATAACAGGATAATTTAATTTTGAGCAGATCATAGGAATTTTTATATAAACACGAGTTTGTTCTCAAGCATGTCAAAACTTGAAACTTATACTTAGAACTATACATACTCTAAACTTGTATATAAATTGTAATAAACATGTAGAAATCTTTAATATTTCTTGTGTATTGAGTTACATTTTCAGTTAAAAAACCAAATTTACAAACCACAAGCACTTGAACTATAATTTTAAAAATGCGTCATTAATTTTTAGATAATATGTCTTTGATTTTTTTGATGAAAATTTGTATAAAGACATCTGTTACACTTTTGCATGCCTGTAGATAAATTTCCTAAATTTATGTGATCTATATAATAAAAGGTATACTTTTCTATTGATTCTAACCATTATAAGATTATTTAAAATAAAGACCATTGACCTAAATAAAAGCTATCAACAGCCATGTAATATAAACAGCCTAACTAGAGTTATACAATTTCAAGGGGTGTAAACCGTAACTGATGCAAAACTTGACTATTTTTAAACACATTGTCTAATTCACTGTTATGCCTTATTTTGATCACAGCAATACAATAGTTAAGGACTTATAGGTGTACGGTTTATTGCGGAGGTCATTGGAAATAACCATTCACTTCAATATTCTTTGTTTTTAAACATTTGATAAGGATTTATATATCTAGAAGTTAGTTGATTATTTAACTTAGAAAAACTCAGTACATGATTATATCAAGTAAACAAAAACTGAATGAAGTTTTTTGCTAGCCAAGTATATAGCTCTTTATATCATATGGAAAAATTGAAGGAAGTATATTGTGTCCGATTAATCAAATCATATAAATCACTATAGCTCAGTTAAAACAATACACCAGACCTGTTATAAATATCGAAAATTGTAACTGTAATCTAATATTTAATAGATAACTCCACCTGTGGAGCTTCTAGGTTTACCGCCGGTCTCAAGCCTGAGTAAAGGAAGAGGGTTGGACATGAGGTCAGAAACCCCGCCCCGTAGAAAACAACTTTGCCAAAAAAACCTAACCAGAATAAATAAATTGGACCATTTAAATTTTGCCTTGATAGTTGGACGATCTTCATTCAGAAGAATTGTGGAGCCACATGGTGAAAGCCAAGATTCTCCGAAAGTTACGAGGCCAATGTCCCCTTCTAACAACCAGAGCAGCGATTAGTATAGGTACATGGAATGTCCGGACAATGTGAGAGACCGGGAAGACCAACCAATTACCTACGGAAATGAGGAGGTACAACTTGATGGTGCTCAGAATCAGTGAAACCCATTGAACCCAAGCTGAACAGCAAAGTTTGAATTCAAGAAAGATGCTTCTGTACTCTGGTCACAAAGAGGAAGATGATCCACACACTCGAGGAGTTGCTGTGATGCTGTCCGTAGGAGCACAAAGTTCACTTGTAGGATGTGAATCTCATGGATCCAGGGTCATCAGGGCATCACTAAAAACAATCAATGAGAGGATCACGATGAATTTTACTCAGTGCTATGACCACACCAATAATAACAGTGACGACACTAAAGACCATTTTTACGAGAGTCTGTAATCGATCGTAGATAAGACCCCAAGAATGATGTGACCATCCTGAAGGGAGACTTAAGGTATTGGACAGAGTGTTATCCAACCGAATGAAAGATTCAGTGGGTGCCCAACTTTAGGATCAACACACCGGATTGCGTAAGCATCGGTCGTGAGCAGACCAAATTGTGAACTACGGATCATTTTTGAACGATCAATTGAATGGAACTCGTCACTACTTATCAACTCCATTGACTTTGAGAAGGCGCTTGACAGCGTGGATCGAAGAACCTTATGGAACCTCCTTAGACACTGTGGTGTACCTGAGAAGATTGTCAACATCATCTGGGATTCATATGAAGGACTACGCTTCAAAGTCGTGGATAGAGGAATGCTGGCAGATGCGTTCCAAGTGATGACTGGAGTCATACAAGGCTGCTTACACTGCCCCTTCCTATTTTTTCCGGCAGTTGAGTGTATTATGAAAACCTTCGTTGAAGGGGAAGCACGGAATACGATGGACAGGTTGCATGCAACTGAACGATCGGGACTTTGCAGATAACCTAGCTCTTCTACCCCGTATACACCAGCAAATGCAGGTGAGGACAGCCAGTGTAACAACAACATCTGTCTGTAGCATTAGGGCTCAAAATACACCAGGGAAAAAGCAAGATCCTGAAATAAAACACGGAGAACACTAATTCAGTCACACTTGACGAATCGACTCTGCAAGATGTGGAAAAGTTCACTTATCTGGGCATCATCGTCTATTAACAAGAGGGATCTGATGCAGACATAAAGGCAAGAATTGAACATATGGAACTCAAAACAACTTTCCACCAACATGAATGTCAGAGCTGGGATCCTCTCAGTTAAAGCAGTTCTGAATTTGAAGACGAATGCGAATGATGATTACAGCCATTAGCTTCTGTTCTCAACCACATCTAATACTGTTTCAAGCTGATGAGTTGCACTATCTGTCGGACCACAACCAGTAAGTTGTGACTGACCGATCGATGTCAGTTACATACGGCTTTGTTTTATATCCCTGTACCATCTCATAAGCTGTAACATTGTAAACTACATGATCTTTTTTATTATGTTTTCTGTTACAAAAATGTAATTAAAATGCAGTGATCCCTTTTCGTCTCTCCAGGATAATTGCACATTTACGTTATGAGAATTCTGTGGGTGTAGAGTTTTTGGATGTTGGTGTTTCAGGTGTTAGTTTATGGCATAAAATGCCTCCTGAACTATGAGATTGTAACAGCTTAAGTTGATTGGTTAAGAGTTGACCTCAAACAGCATTCTCACTGACTTACCTTGACATTAGATTGTAATATGGTTTCTGTCAGTTGATTGTCGTCTAGTTGTGATAATGGTTTGTGTGTAATAACTGGGTGTTGTGAATTTCGTAAACACTAACTGTGATCAACAACAGACTTTTGTAGTAGGTGTTACCTGAAACCCTTTCAGATTATGAATACTATGTACTAATTGTACCTTTTTCTTAACTTTCAAGGCAACGAGAATCTCTTTTGTTGCTTGCCTCAGACCCACTTCCATATTTTTTCCTGTGTATTCAGTTAAGTATTTGTCGAAATCGCCGATGACCTCCAACATAAATCATACAAATGAACAACTTCCTTGTACAGAAAATTACTCGGAGTTAAAAGAAGTTTTGAAACCGTGCGGTAAACTTCCGCCGACAAACGACATAAAATTGGATCGATCTCACTTTAAACGTAAAGTCCCAATGATATTCGTCGGTATTCAATGTGATAAACATGTCAAGACGTCTTTAGAGAAGTTGAAACCATTTTTCTGTCCTTTTATCCGACTACCTAAAATATCTAAGACTTAGTAAGTTTCCTGGTATAATGTTTAAATTGTTATCGTCAACACAACTCATTTCATATTTATACTGAATTGTTTAACTCTTAGAAAGTATCTGCTTGATTAGAAATTCATCTCTTTGGTTGCCTATAATCAAACTCTTCAGGAATATATGTGAATTTTGACATCAACCAACGCAATCTTTTTAATGGTTAGCTACAATTGTAGCAGCGTATGATAGTTCTATATTTTGAATTATATGAATTTCAAAGATTATGGCTAGTATATTTCTACCTATAGTGATGGAAGAAACCTGCCTCTAATCATTTAGTGGTCTGAGAGTAATATATTTCTGAGGTATTTTGAAATCGTTTTTAAGTTGTCTCACGAAACGACTTTACATCCCATACATCAAAGTTACGTATATCCTCACTCTATCTCAAACCGGATAACAGATCTCATCAGCCAGCTTGTGCACTAAAAACATACTGTACGACCAAAGCAGTCTTACAAAACCTGTGAGTTTATTCATATAAAATTGTCTTGTTAGTTTGATGAATTTAAGCAATCCAACATTCGATATGTAGTTGAGTCTAAGGGCAAATAAGTGACTTCTGTACTGAACCTTTGCCGATGGTTCCCAGCAATATTCAGCTGAATAGTATTGTGGTTTGTGCTACCGATGTCCACAGATATAAGTAGTGTGTATCATCAATCGAAAGTGAAATGCCTGGAGGCAGAAGGTTAAGAAGATCAAAGAAAAGAGAACGAGAACAAAGAATGGTTGGTGTGGAAACGAAAGAACAATCAAGTTTGAGACGATTGTCTGAAGTATTTGTTGTATGATTCTCAGATTTTACTAAGATGTCCTGTAATTTTGTATTTAAATACATTCGATTGTCCCACTTGTGTTCTCGTTCACTACAGTATTATTACAACTCAGAAGTGTCGCAATTTGTATGCATATTTCTACTGACTGTGGTTGAGACAAATTAGAAGCTAAGTTCCTTCGAAACCTCGTTGACCTTTTTGTAACTTATTGCTTTGCCTGTTAAATTTTCGTTCACTAATCTGCACTAATACAAGTGTGTTGATTAACACATAATTCGTTTACATCTAGAACATGTTGTGGATTAAAATTGTTTTCTGCTACCAGAAACAACGGCATCCATACCCCTGATAAGTCAGTTCTAGTCAGTAATTAATTAACTGCTTAAGTTGATTGGTTAAGAGATGACCTCAAACAGCATTCTCACTGACTTACCTTGACATTAGATTGTAATATGGTTTCTGTCAGGAAGGGATCAAAGAAGCACTGACTTCAACATGTCAGGAGGTTCTGAGCCGCAAGAATCATCATCATAAGGATTGAACATCTATCGAAACTTTAGACAGTATTCAAGAAAGGAAGGACACGAAGACAGCAATTAAAATCAATCGAACAAGAACAGAGAAAGTCAGGTGACAAGCTGAATACACTGAAGCAAATAAGCGGGTGAAGAGGATCATTAAAGCCGACAAGCAGTAATAGGTGGAAGACCTAACAGGAACAGAGGATAAAGCTGCAAGAGAAGGAAATATGAGACTGTATTATTAAGACATCTGCGTCGAGGGGAAGCACGGAATACAATGGACAGGTTGGATGCAACTGGACGATTGGGAATTCGCAAACGACCTAGCTCTTCCAACCCATACATGTCAACAAATGCAGGTGAGGATAGCCAGTGTAGCAACAATTTCTGTCTGTAGCATTAAGGCTCAAAATCAAGGTAACAGAAAGACTTATAAAAATCTTTGCGATAGTTTCCACAAGTTTTTACGGTCAAAACGTAAAACAAACTACAGTCCTAAGGCAGTCGCAAGAAAATTGGAGAACTACTACAACCATCATAAAGAAAGTACAAGTATTTCTGAACAATTTTATACTCATGATACTCAATGTCCGTTGTTGGCCGGATACCATCAGCAACTGCCTACTGTGGAAGAGAGCAAAATGGTTTCCAGTTGAAGAGGAAATTGGGAAAAGACTTTGGAAATGGATAGGACATTCACTGAGGAATTTATCAAACTGCATCACAAGACAAGCGCTAGCCTGGAATCCTGGAGGAAAATGGAAGGCCGAAGAACACAATGAAATGCGCTGGAAGTAAACATGAAAAGGATTGACCATCGTTATTCTGAACGACATCATCAGCACAAACTTCAGGTAAAAGTGACGAAGTCTTTAAATTTCTCTACATATGGCTCACGGTTTGTTCTGTAGACCTCAGTGTTGATTGGTTATTGTTGATCTTTAACCTTTCATTGCTTACTTGTTTATTTTGGTTGTATCTCCTATTGTTTTGATTTATGGACCTATATTTGTCCATAATTTTTCTGATTGGTTGATAAATTGTAGATAGCAATAAGATATAGAATGTTCAATTCCTTGTACTTGACGCTCAACGATTGGATGTGGTTACAACCCAATGTTAACGACCTCATAATTACAATCCTATTACTGGCTACAACTCGAATTATAAATGGCTTTTAGATGAATGCATTTTTGCTTCACTGTTGTTTGGACTAGAAATTCACCATTTTAATGCAATTTCAATGAAACATGCTCAAAAAAAAACATGTTTCATGATAACACCACAATTAGCTAAACGTTTATATTCACTTAGAGAAAATAATTATGTTAATTTCATTACGGACTAATGTCACCTTATGAAGGAAAAACTCAAAAATTATTTAATGGTTATTTCTCATTACTTTTATAACCAATCACAATCTTTAAAAAATTTGGACACAAATGTGTTTATACGATACGGAGAATTGCACAAACAACCAAAAGCTGACTGGTAGTGGAAGAATTAGAAAAACATTTTGTAAAAGAAAGTGTATTCCAAGTATTACAAATAATAATAATACTTGACGAAATTATATTATTTTCCATCAACAAATAAGAGACGAGAGATTTTTAGTAACAAATAAAAGGCGTCACCAATATGTATGAACAGGTATATATATATATATATATATATATATATATATATATATATATATATATATATATAGTGAAGTGCTTATGTGAATAGTAAAATAAAATTTCTTTTTCAAGTGAACCCACAACTAACAGAAAATGGGGCTAAATTTCCATTCATTGTTAACATTTATACTGTATATTTATTCTTCAATTATCCTGATAAGTTGGAAGTTTGGAGAAATTGTAGCGAATCCAATTGAAACCTCAAGTAAGTCAAATAAATTTTTTTGTATAAACGTAATGGATAAAGTTGTGTTATAATCATATACCCTATTTAGTAACTGATACAAGCCATAAAATTGTGAATTCTTATTTAGATCTGGATTTCAAAATGCATTATAACTTCAGTTAAATATAATTTATTCACTCCACTGTTAAAATGTAGATTGGATAATCATTCGATATTTGGTATTATTTATTTTAATATAGGTATTATCGAGATTAAGTTGAAAGGTACCCCTATATAGTGTGACAAACCACAATACCAAGAGATTAAAAGAACAAACCACACTGGAGCAATGAATCTTAATTTATTTGCTTTCTTCGTTTTTGAACGAAGCTCTACATTGAAATTCCGGTTTTATCATGTTACAAAAACATAATGCGTAAAAGTTTAGGATAGTACCCAATCAATCAATAGTTACATGAGTTTTTCCTTTTGAGGTCAAAATTTACAATAAATAACATGGTTCTAACAAACGCCCTTATAATTTTATGGTATTCTAATATTGCGATTTAATAGATTTTCAACTTAAACTTGTTTAACCATATCAGTAAAATATGACTACTCTAAATATAATGTCTCAAAATTTATAGATCTTATTCTTTCAAAGAAATCATAAGCTCTAAACGCTTTTAACAGTAAAATATGAAGAAAACACTAGTGTATTCAAAGAACTAAAAAGAAGATACACCGCAGAAAAATTTAAGGTTTACAAAAAATTAGCTTTAATTAATGATTCAACAAAATGCTTTGAAAAGAAATATCTTCCAAACTTTTTTTAAACAATAAAATATCTAAAATTTTCAATAGTTACAATTTAAATCGTTTTTAATAAGACGCCACCACCTTCAGGTATTGTAAACTGTAACGAGTTAAATGAAAACAATAAAAAAAATTCCTAACAGATATTTCTTATTTATACAATGTTACAATTACAACTCGATGAAAGATTGAATATATAACATAATGATCTCCTCTACATAATCTATAAAGTTTAATTCATGTATGAAATATATCACAAATTCATTTTAGATATAATAATAAAATATCTTGATTTCTTCTGTTTCATGTTCAATCTACAATGGTTTTTTTGTTAAGAATAGTAGCATAACAACCTGTATACTTCTAAAAATAAATATAGTCTATAATAATAATAATAATAATAATAATAATAATAATAAGTATTTATTATTATTACTATTACTATCACCTATTATTTTCTGTTTCATAACCCAATTAAAATAGATTTCAATAAGTATAATCAGATTTACAATGTGAATTATCTATTTATGAGAAATTCGATCTAATCCAAAAACAACAAAAAAACTTAATCTATGAGTAAATGAATGAAAAGAAGAAAAGAAAGAGAACTTCACGTTGAAGTGTTGTTTTGATATATATATATATATATATATATATATATATATGTGAATATTATAACTTATACAGTCAGTTTATAACTGAATGATATCCAACACTTTCTTAATATTCATTGAAGTACAATAAATAATTTTATAATATAAAAAGAAAAATAGATTAATTGCGTAATAAAACTTATTGAACAATGTGAAAAATTAAAATGTATTTTAAATTACACATTTAACTTCGATTATATCAGTTTCTGGATAATTTATTCATTTAAAATTTTTTTAATAAAACGTTTATAAAAATTTAATAGTTGTATTCATGGACCAATTGAATATAGACAATCATAGAAAACCTGAACGCACTGGATGGCCGTTTCGTCCCAGCATGGGACTCTTCAGCAGTGCAGTCTACGATCCCGCCCCGCGTGCGAACGCTTGATCTACAAGCGACTGAACCGACCCGCATCCAATGGTGTTAATGTTTAACTTTAATTAATCCACAAAGTTGCTCCACCGTCCACCATTGTCATCAGTGAGTCACTAACTTACAACAGATCAGTTTGCACTCCATTGGTCACGGGTTCTTACTAGAACTCCAGGAAATACCTAGTGGAGTCCGTCACTAGTGAGCATATGATGATTATAATCAGAATGGGGTTTTGTGGATACTATAGTAATTTAATAGTTGGATTCATGAGTCAATATAAATGATTCCAAGACTAAACATAAATTGTTTCAAGAGTTAAATTAAGTTCCATATGGTAGACGAGAAAATTTAACCCTAGAAACTTGAATTCGTTCATGTTATGAAGATGTATATACAGCTTATAAAAAAAACAATACATACGTAATATCCTAATGAGTAGAAAAATTAGATTTTCTGGCGTTTCGTGACTCAGTGTAAGCCCCTTCTTCAGAGAATAAATAACCAAATCAAAATTAACTCAAGTTCATATAGTGCAAAGGAAC